TAGGGTAGAACAATTTAAAGAGGCACCTTCAGTCCCTACGCAGGCTGATCAAAGTGGTCACCCAACCGCTCATGCATCACTGACAGCAGCCAGTGATGCATGACTGTGAAGTTCTACCGGAAACCGTGTCTTTACAATCAGTACATTGCGGGACCACCCTCATATCGTAATTGCATCTTATAAACGGAATTAATTTGAGCCATGCCATTGGTGATGCATTCTTATAGAGGGAAAACATTATCTTTCGTACAGAAAACGCCACTGCATTTTTAACGATTTCACAAAACTTGTTAAACATTGACACCAAACACAGCTCAATTACTTCCATGAAAAATTAAAATATGGGGTCCTAAATGTGTTGGTCTAAAGTGAAATAACTGTTGACAATTTCACAACATTTTATAAAGTTTGATACACATGACCATATTATCCTATATTATTTACGAATCCCCATGGTGTCAAAATATTTATATTCCTAAATTTTATAAAATTTCAAGATTATAAAAAGAGGAGACATGACCATATTGCCATAAATTGTTTACCAGATATTGGCATAGGGGATTCAAAACTTTTGGGAACCCTATTGATACCATATTCATAAGTTTCACAAAGTTTAGTACCTAATATGACCATATTACCATGTAATTTACAATCTCAGCATGGGGGTAATTTTCAATTTCACCATTTTTTTAAGAAACTTTTCTTCTAAGTCCAAACAATTTCAAAATTTTTCCAAGTTCAATCTTCTGCTACTCCTCTTTTTACACCAGTTTTTCACAATTTGAGAAAAATTTCTTTTGTTTATAGTAGCAAAATTTGAAAAGACTAAGAAACAATTCGAAACAATCTCTCAGTCCAAACAATGTGAATATTTTTCTAAGTCTAAACAACTTCGATGTCCATACTTCTGCTACCTTCTTATAAACCTGTTTTTTTACATTAAAAAAAAAAATTTCTAAGTCGAAATAATTTGAAATGTTTCTTTTAATAATTCGAAATTTTTTTCTAAGTCTTGACAATTTGAAAGTTTTTCAAAATCCCAAACAATTTAAAATTTTTTCAAAGTCTAAACTTCAGCTACTCCTTAATTTCAAACAATACTTGATGGGCTATTCAACAGCGTTTATAAAAATTTAATGTACTTTATTTCATTTTCTTCTTAAGAAAACTCCTTACTTTATTCAGTCTACAATCTGTTGGCAAAAACAAAATCATTCAAACAACAAAATCAAATCAAAATCATTGTTGAAAATAAAATAAAAGAGATAATTATGTATATTTAATCTTTTTATTGCAATTTTATTATTTATTGTAAGTATTAGCAATAAGTTCACTATAACGACAATTTCGACTGGTGTTAAGAATGGTCGTTATAAACCACTTTTACAGTATATAATGACAAAATAAAAATTTCAGAATCTGTGTTCCTCAAATAGACTTAAAATGAAAATATTCTATTTTTGCAAACCCAACATTCAGAACACATCACGATACGGCAAATTACTTTTGTACACTCTAAGAAATAATTGTATAACTTGTACTGTTATCAGGCACTGAACTCCAGTTGAAATTTGAAGTCTTCCTCGAAAAATTTTATGGGAAATTTCAATCACTTGGAGGTAAAATCATTTTGTCATTCTTACTAAAATCATTTAATTCAATTATTGTCATTTTTTTAAAATAGCAAGATTTATTATCATTTTGTAAAAAAGGCAATAAATATTGCTCGCAGCTTTGAGCAAATTACTATAGCATGTATTATCATCAGGCACAGATCTCCAACAAAATGTTGAACATACCGAATAGTTGAAAAGTCTTATGGCAATTTCTATCGACAATCGTTGGCTATAAAAATAAAATAAATTTTTCTCACATCAATGGAAACAGAAATAAACTTATATAGGCATCAGGCAAACAGCCATATTTTATTTTATAACCATCGTTGAAGAGCCGACCCCGCTTTTTTGGGTTTACGACTAACTAATGCACAACTCCGTCGGCTTGTAATTTTGAAACCAATCCAGAAGACAAGAGAAGTCCTGGATCAAGTATTGGGAGAACGTTTGCCTTTGTGAAGGCTTTTTGATGGAACGAACCTGCATTTGCATTACATGGACAGGAAAAACACAAAAACCTTCTACGGTTATTTTGATGGCCAGGGGACTCTAACCCATGATCCGTCTACCACTGAGGATATTTTATGTCAGCGCTGTGGTCTGTGCAAGCCGGATGCGGACTTCGTATCTACCAGCTATTGCTCGGATTTGAACCAGATTCACCTCATTGGAAGGCAAACGCTCTATCGTCTGTGCCATTCAGCTTTATTTTGAATTCCGCATACTAATAGTTTACCGTTTACCCAAAATCCGGTCAACAGTAACGCACACACTCTTTATTTTATGGATAGATTCATTCTAGCATTAGAAAGCTCACTTTTGTACATTAAGTTAAAAAACAATAAGCAACATAAAAAGTTACTATTTTTATAAACTAATAACAATTTTAAATATGAGATGATATACTTTACACAAAGAATGTAATGAATTTTAAAACATGTTAAAAAAAATAATTTTACATAGCAAAGTTTAAAATATACTAATTTTCATTTCACTTCAAACTTAATAGCTTATTTTCCCTTTATAACTTCCTCACTATATAAACAGCACATCACTTTTACTTCAATTTCAATGTCGCGTATATACCGGCAAAATGCGATAATTTTATACAATATTTACAATTTGTATCATTGTAATTAGACTTAATGGTTAAGAGTTAACAATATTAGTAGTATTATTAGGACAAACAGTATTTCCTTTTGTTGAGCCCTGTGCAGATTGAAGCAGGAACTAATCAGGGATTTACCTCAACTTAATGTAAAAAGTCCATTTGTTCTTTTTTTTTTTGAAATTGTGAAAAATTAACTCAACTTTGTAAATCAAAAATTAGTTCTATCAACCAGGGACCTGTTGTTGTAAAAATAGTTGTCATGTTTCTTCTTTCTTTAAATGACATAAATCATTACAGAAATGACAAAATTATTGCATAAGTCATTGTTTCAGTTTTAAATTATAAATAAATACAACATAATAACTTGAAATTGCATACGTATAATTAAAAAAAATATGTTTGAAAATTTCAAAAATCAGTACTACACAAGATTTAAAAATATGAGTAAGAGAGATACATTAAAAAATATCTCCCTTTTTCCCACTCAATCTAAAGTAACATTAATTACAAAAAGTAAACATTAATAATTCACATTAAGGTCAATTTTGAGATAAATTAGGAAAAGTTAAATTTATGTATAAAATTTTAATCTTGAAGATAAACAGATTTAAAAAGTGTTAATTTGTCAAAGAATTTTTTGTAAGGTTATTTTTTAAAAATACGGTGTTTTTACGAAAATATATTTTGTGAATGGTAAGTTTTTACAATAAAATCTTTCAGGTACCATGAGAAAGAATTTTTTCCAGCTTTCTGCAACAAAATTCTCTAGCACTAATGTCTTTCTGCAAGATATTTTTAATAATAACAAATATATATGTCACTAATTTAAAGTAACAGAAGTACTCTATTTTAAAAAGAAGAAAAAAGTGCATATAATGTTTAATTGAATTTGTAATTTTTTATTATTATGAGTGACATTCTTTTATTTTGTGAGGAGAAAAAAGCATTGTTTATTTCCTTTTTGGAAAAATATCTTGAAATCAGTAGCAGTAACTACTGAAATAAAGATCGACAACGGGGTAACTCAAATGTTTCGAGATTCGGTTGTTGTGATAAACAATATTGTATTAGAAATATCAGATTTTAAAAAGTATGTGGAAATCAATAGCTATAACTGCTTAAAAAAATCGATATAATCATTGCATTAAAAAGTACATTTTCAAATGCGCAATTCAAATTTCTCATATTGTCTGAAATATATTGAAACATTTAAAAATCATATGAAAATCAATACCAATAACTGCCAAAAATACAATTGAAATACTATGTGGAATTACGATACTATAGGCTTAAATTGAGCTCATCAAAAAGGGATTATTTAAATGGGCGATTCAAATTTTAGGTGTAGTAATATTAACTGATAAATAACAGGAATTTTAAAAACCCCGAGAAAATTGGTAGCACTAGCAATTAAAGCCTGAATTAGCAGGTATTCAGGGTTTTACTAGCAATAACTGCCAAAAAAAAAACAATGAAATTGTCACATTACAAGTAAATAAGTGCAATAAAATAAGTCAAAATAAATAAGTGTAAAAAAAATAATAAAAGTAAATAAGTGTAAAAATAAAATAATAAAAGTAAAGAAGTGTATAAAAAATTTGAAAGTCTAGCTGAAGCCGGTCATTATCAATTTTTTTTTTTTTTAATACAGTGGAAAGTCGCGTATCCGGAATCGGCGGGACTTTCCAAAGTCCGTATATNATACAACGCCGTATCGCACATTTTGAAAGTCTAGCTGAAGCCGGTCATTATCAATTTTTTTTTTATATTCTCAATCAGACAAATCACGAGCATTTCTATTCCATCCAATGCACAAAAAAGTTATCTTTGGAATATAGTTCTGCAAAAAGAATAATAAATAAATCCTTCTAAAATTCATGAAGAAAAATAAATTATTTTTTTTAAATTTCCCAACGAAAAATCTTTTTGCAAGAACCCTGTAACATTCTGCGACAATGTCACCATAATTTTGCCACAAGGACGAGGTACATGCAATATATGACTTAAACTTATCTTAAACAGGCTAGAGTTGTTCAGGGGTCTGTCCAGACATTTTGTGAANCATGCGATATATGACTTAAACTTATCTTAAACAGGCTAGAGCTGTTAATGATATAAAATCCTACAATAAGAATTAAATTTTAAGATTATAATTGTAGAGAGTCAATAAAATCTAGCATTTTGCCCTTAGTATACTCTTTTAATGGAAAATATAAACATAAAAATTGCACAAAAAAATTCAGAAGAACTAGGCTCAAAGCATTAAAACTTACCTTTTAACGTGACGCTTTTTGGTATTGATATTTTTCTGGCATAACAACTGTTCAAAATATTCATCATCATCGTCATCAAACAACTCACTGAAAGTGTGATAAATTACAAAATAAAAAAAATTACTCAAAATAACATTACATCATATCAAAACAAATGACAATAACACTCAGATGCAATTAAACAGTCAATAATTAACAAAGCAGTAGAATTTTATTAAAGACCTGTATTATCATCATCATAATTTTATCTTATTTTATAACCGTCGTTGAACAGCCAACTCAATTTTTGGGTTTACGACTACTAATGTTCAACTCAACAGCCTTGTCATTTTGGACCCAATCCAGAAGAAAAGGAAACTCTCAGACCAAGTATTGGGAGAAATTTGCCTTCTTGGAAGACTTTTTGATGGAACTAACCCTTATTTGCGTTACATGGAGAGGAAACCCATGAAAACCTCTCATGGTTGACCCGACGCCAAGGGGACTCTAACCCATGTGAAATTCCTATCGACCAGCCATTGCTGGGATTCGAACTTGGTTCACCTCATTGACTTAAATTTGCAATTCTAAATTTCAAACATATTTTACTTTTTAAGGGAAATCATTTTCATTGTGTTTCGAAGCTCCCGCAGGCCGCAGGTTATCAATCCAATTTATGCTAAAAATCATAGCTAGGAGTACAGAAAAATCTCTCAATGTCTCCTTTTTCTGAAAATAGTTGTTTTTTAGCCTTTACAAGCAAAAAAAGTTGTCATGGCCACCTCAGGTTGAAAATGGTTGCAAATAGTCGCATTTTTATCGCCAGTAGCAACCTCGTAATATTCAAACCCCATCCTTGGATGGAGTTCCAAAAATTAAGTCAAGCTCATCAAATTCTTCCTCTCCACTGTAATCTTTAATAAAAGGAGAAAGATTAAGCTAGATGGATGAAGAGGAACCAGAGCTTCATCATAATTAACAAAAGAACTGCATGCTTGCTCATATTTTTTGGTAGAAATCATGAAGACAATCGTTAAAAATCAGAAAGATTCATGAAAAGCCCACTGACAGAATTTACAGAGGGAATCTGCAACATTAACTTTATAAATCAAATTTTCAGTGACCAGTCGAAACATTACAATTAAAATAATGAATACAAAACTGTTTTTAGGAAACCATTTTGTAAAACATTACTAAATAATCTGTTTGGTGAATTGACTAATTTTAAAATATCAGGTAGTTGAATAAGAATTTAAGAAAAATAAATTGTATGTCATTTAAGAAAAATAAATTGCAATGATAGCAAAAATACTTAAGTTTAAAGATAACTCTAATGAACTTTGGGAAAAAAATTGTGTTAATGCAATAAAAATTTTTGCTTCTTTTAATTGAATAATTTTAAATTTTAATGTAACAAAACATTTAATGTAACTTATTTTTGTTAAAAAAAGATAACAGCATAGCAATCTAAAGCCGCCCAAAAAATGGTTACATTGCAACAAAAAAAGTGATAAATAGTTATCATATAATTAACTTTCATGTCAGAATAATCACATTAAGGATTCAAGAATAAATAAAAAAATTTAAAAAAAAGAAGAAAAATCAGATTTTTTTTCAAAATAAAACCTGGATTTTTTTCAAACCCTACAAAAAATGATATAGAGCATCTGCAAATCCATGTTCTGATATAATTTTTTTAAATTATTGAAATAATGCAGTTACTGATCAAATAAAGATAAAAAAAATTAGAAAAACTTCTTTTATCCTGTAGTAATCAAAATTATAATATAATTTCAAATTTTGATTCGTCATTTTGCACTATGTTAGAAATTTTTCAAAAAAAAAAAAAAGTCTTTATGGTATGCTTGCTACAGTTCTGCGGTTTTTCATAGTCAATATTTAACTAATGGATGTTTGAAGCAATAGATTGAATCATAGTCAAAACAGTAAAAAAAAGAGGCTAATTTGTGACAGTAAAAATATAGATGGTAAATTAAAACTTACTCATCATCTGGTGAAGGAGTCAAAGGCGGAGAAGTGTCAAATGATGAAAGTTCAGAAATGTCAGTTGTCTTTGGAACATTCCCAGCTGCTCCTGGAATGTTCAATCCTGGAGGATATTTTGGAGGCGGAATAGCAGGAGTCAGACTATCACCAAAACTAGGAATGGATGCATTAAATTTCGGACTAATAAGAGGAGATATATTTGGAAATTGTTGCGACATAGGAGGTAGGGATTGCTGAGGAGCAAATATAAATGGTGTCTGAACGGCTGAGACATTTGAAGATAAACTCTGGAGCTGGTTTGCTAAAGTAGGATTGGAAGCCATTAATTTCATGAGTTCTATGAGCTGTTGCATATTTGGATCAGGTGTACTTGCAGGCACCTAGCAAAAAATATATAAAACATTATTTTTTTAAAAATTGATTGATGTTCTTGCGTCTGTATAAACAGCTGTTTCACAATCTCTCTCTGCATATATCAAGGAATAGTTCTCAGTTTCCGTTTGCTTCTCCAAAAAATTTTTTCTCATTTTATTGTAAACAGATTTTGGAAAGTTAGTGTGCGTGGCCAGCTTTTGAACTATGAAAAAAAAATAGCTTTCCTTCATTCTAACTTATAATTTTAAAATTTATGACTTAAAAATAATTTTCTTTTTAAAAAAAATAACAATTCAAAGAAACAGAAAAATTTTCATTCAAGATATTTCTAAACAAACATTTGGGAACAAATGCTGAAATTATGTACTTGCACTTTAAGAAGATCATGGATAACCATACATGTGACCTATGACACCAGCTGACTATTCATACGCAAAATGGCTAAGTTTCTTCACATAAGTTAGAATGTTAATTAACATGAATTTAATCAAATACAACGCCGTATCGCACATCAAATTTGTTGATCTCGTCTGCTTCTTTTACTTAACTTAGATTTATTACTAATTTATGTATTTTATTGTAACCGTGATATATTTTTGTTTTGCATACCTGGCAACTTTGATGCATAATTAGTTTGTTTATGTTCTACATAGGTTGGTGCAAGACTTTATGCCTAATTGTAAGTTAGATAAATTAAAAGGAGTGTAAACAGCTGTTTACTTACATACGAAATAGGGTGAAGAAAACTGATAGATAAAACACCAGCCTCAGAAAAGAAAATTGTAAGTTAGATAAATTGAAATGAACGTATACAGTTGTTTACTTATAAATAAATTTTTTTAAAGGAATGTTAAAAACTTATTACTTGTTGCTGTGGTTCATCGGATTCTCCGCATACTTCAGCAAGTTTTTCCTCTATTAATACATCATTAATATATAAATCCATATCTTCTCTACTTGTATCACATAAAATCACAGCCAAAACTCCATCCTTCAAAATAATGAAACTAAAATTATTAAAGCGCAACAATAATCAATTATTCATTGTCCACAATAATTAGATTTATTTATTAAAAATAGAACTTTCTAGCTCTCTAGAAATACATAATCTTACGCTTTTAAGCTCCCTTTTTTTAAAGACAATTATAATCGCTTGTAAGAAAGTACAAGACAACAAATGCATGCACCATTTTTGCTTTGCAAAATTGATGAAAGTCCTAATTTGTATTAAAACGAGTTCAGCCATGAAAAAAAAAACAATTTCCATAAAGATAAACCTTTTTATTTTAGAAAGAATTAAAACATTTGGGTAAGATGCATACATCTCAGTTTTTTGGAAATCAATGTACTGGTTTTGAAAGAAAAACAAAGAAATATAATCAAATTTAAAATATGTATTTCTTTACTTTAAATTTGGATAAAATTGTTTTTTAAATTTTTATATAGCAAATTATAGGGTAGGAGATGAATTCTGATGAAGAAAAAAAAGAAGAAAAAATTGTACTTTGCATTAAAAACTAAAATACTCCTTTTACGGATGAAAATTATCTTTAATTAATCTTCAAGTTTTTTTTTTTTTTTTTTTTTTTTTTTTTTTTTTTTTTTTTGAGAATATGCTTCGATATGCGAATTGTTTGATCTAAAATGTATTTTGCCACTTATGTGAATTTTCTAGAAATGAATTGAGCTAGTTTTTGAATTAAATGTCTAAATATTTTATTTTTTAAAAAAAAATTACATTTTGATACAGTAGAGAACCAATTATCCTGATTGCTGGGGTCCATCGCTATCCTGGATGTCTGAATTTCCAGGTTTTCTGGAGAGCTAAAAAATTATTTAATACAGCTTAACAATATTTCTACTTTAATATTAAAAAAAAGAAGCCGTATTTTAAATGTTTTAGTATTCCAATTAAAAATTTATTTCCACTTCACTCTTTTAACTTTATTGTATTTATATAGTAAAGTATAGATTTCTTTCTTTTCTATAGTAAAGTATAGTAAACTTTTCTATAGTTCTTTTCTATAGTATATAAAAGATTTCTTTCTTTTCTTGCAGTTTCCCAATCACCTTCTGTGTTGCTAATATTTCTCCCTCGGAACAAAAAACAAAACCATTCATTTCATAAAATTTCGATTTCGAAAATAAAATAATAAATATAAATAAAATAAAAAACAAATAAAAACATTAAAAAAAAACAGAGAAAATTTCTCTTTTTGACCCTGTGATCAATTTGGCAGCAACTGATTTTTTCTCTGCTTTGTGCAAGTGCACTTTCCCCGCAATTACGTAACTTCATTTTGCTTTCAGGCATCTAGAATTTGACAGGACAGCTGTTGGCTTTTCTACCGAGCTGTTTCGCAGCATTCAGTTTGAAAATTGCTACTCCGTATATTATCCACTTTAGGTAACGTCGAGGGATTTTCAGCATAAGCTGAAGTTGTCACGTCTTGTACAATAGTGGTTTTATTAGAGCATGTCAGCTCACTATTATTACAGAGTTACCTTTTACTTTTAAAAAAATTAATAATAATTTGAATATTTCAAGAAATAAAAATTGAAACTTTTGTCAAATTTAGCGATTTCTGAACAAATTTTATCAGAATTCGGCAGCGACAGAAGGGTTGAAACTATTTAGAGGAGTCAATCATTTGCTTACAGAAAATATTTTAATTCAGATTTTGGGTTCAGTTAATTTTATCTAAGTCTGCTGCTCCTTTTCGTTTGATTTTTGTTTTTCGAACAGAAGAAAATAATCCCTTACCCCCACCTTTCCACCTACTTAGCTTCAAGGATGACTCAGTCATTATAGCAGGGGTCTATCCAGGCCGAATTTACTACCGTTTAGCGGTACCTTCACAAATTCAACTTTAGGAAAAACGGTAGTTTCACAAAATACTTTTTCTTAAAATTTTATTTTTGTGTCTCTTAAGAAATGATAAATCCATATTTTTACCATATTTTTTGTTGATTTTTTAATATAATTTTTTAATTTTTCATAAAATTGGTACCTTTCAGAAAAATCCAGACAGACCCCTGTATAGCAAAAAGCAAGCAAACATGTTATCTGATTTTTGAAAACTGGATAAAAGGATTTATACTGAACAGCTAACTATACTCCTACTTAGTGATTAAAAAAAAGCCATATTCAAATTTCACTTAATTTGGTATTTCATCTTAATTTTTTTACTATTATATTTACATAGTGAAGTATAGCATTGTATCTTTCTATTACCTTTCCATTTTCAGTTCACTGGTAAACATGTAATGCATACCCCCCTCGTAAATCAAAGATCCCACACATTTCCCTCTACTCAACTTCAAGGATAACTGGAGTTTCTGCATTTCGCATAAATTATTTTAGTTCAAAATGTCAGGAAAACACAGCAAAATTTTTCCCGGTTTTTTGGAAACTTGATAAAAGGTTCTATACTGTATTTAAAATTATTACTTTTTTTTAAAAAAAATAAAAACTTTTCTCATGATACACCAAATTTTCTGAAGTTATTTATTTGATCTACAGCTCTCTTGTACTAGCTTGTATCGCTTGTATACACTACATAGATTTTTAAATTTTAGAGCTTTAAAATTTCATACAATGTTTTTTAAAATATTCTAGATTACAAATAATATCTACGTATCATATAAAAATGAGTAAACAGAAATTAGATTATAACATTCATTTTTATTTATATTAATTACATAAAATATTATATACTGTATAAAAACTATATAAAATATTTTCTTAGAGAGAAATTAAAAACCTTAAAATAAAAGTTTCCTTCTTTAGCAGACCGAACTTAAACTGTCCATTCAAGCAAGCAATTAAAAAATGACATTTAAATTAAAATCAATTTAAATACTCAGATGCTTTATTACAAAAAATAAAATTTCTTTAAAAGAAATGAAGTAAAAAATACTTTACCTTAATGTTTTCTATTTTAGCCATCAATGGTCTGTCTTGACATAAATCCAACATTTTTCTACGAGTTCTTTTGTCCCACATGGGAGTACCCTGTCCAGGCTGAAAGAAAGAAAGAAATCTAAATACAGGGTGCATAGCCAAATCTTTCAACTAAAAATAAGCCGGTAAAAATATAATCAGTAGATGATATGTTAAATAAAAATTGTAATTGGTAAGTGAAATAATGAACAAAAATGTAAACAAAATTCATTTTTAATTTTTACTCCTCCTAGCATGCAAAAAATGTAACTAAGTGAGAAATACCAACTTGGTTTTTGCTTTTAATTATCTGTTACACCTCGCATGCTAAAATAATAATCATAAAACAATTACTCAGGGAACAATTGTTTTCTTTTTGTTGAAAAATTAATTACTTTTCAAATTGCTAAAAAAATTATTTACTCTTAAGGGCAAGCAAAATATTACTTTTTCCCATAAACAAACTCAAAAGACAGAAGAGAAAAAAAAATTAAACTGGTTTATTGTCGGTTAATTAATTTGGCACAGATTGATACTAAAAAATTAAAAAGCATTGTAGAAAAATTTTAATGATATCTTTATTACAGAATGGATAAAATTAAGAAAACTAAAACATCATTTATAAGCTATAACACTTGTGCCGAAATGGAATAAAACGATTATTGATATGACCCTGGGCTAAATTAAATAAAAAGGTGAAACATAAATATATGTATCAAAGAATTCCAGATTAAACAAATGTGTGAATTATTACATGAAAATACTGCTATCCTTGTAAAAACTAAAGAGGCAGATGAGCAGTATTAGTGCATTTAGCCAAACTTAGTGTTCTACAACTTTATAAGAGCAAATCATATTGACAGTTGATCCTATCTTTTTCTTTAATCATGAAATATATATTCTGTATACTATTCTACTTATTCTTCGTTTCACTTTTTACTTACCATGTTTTGATTTTTACTTTTTTTTATTAAAAAATAATAATGGGTAAAAAATTGTTATTTCTAACAAAAAAAATGTTATTTCACACCACGCATGAAATCTTGTGTTAACTTCATATTATCTTTTATTTAAGATTATAATGTATTCAATTTAATTATGATAAAAACATAGTTTTATTTTACATTAAGTTTAAACTTTAAAAACTGCTTCGAAAGTTTTTACTTTTAAAATTAGCATCATAACTGCATCTAACTACAATGGCCTGATTTGCCATTTTCTTTTGCTTTATTTTTGGTATCAGTTGGTTGCACTACTATATTATATATAAGCACTGATTTAAATTTTTTACTGAATTTTTATATTTCTGTTTTTTTTCCATCTCCTATTCTGATTTTTATACTTGTAGTTTTTTGAGTTTTATGTATGTATAATGTATTATTTATGTATGTATTATGTATGTTTCTTCTCTCGTATGCCCTTAAATAGGGCGAGTCGAGATCCAAATAAATATATGTTTTATTTTTATTCTTATTGAAAATATTCTGAGGATAATGTTATTACTTTAAAATATTTTATCATTATTATATTTATTTATATATGATCAATATAAATAAAAAAAAATAATTTTACTGTGGCAGTAGGCTTCAAGTATGCCATCCTAGATTTCACAGCTTGAGTAGGAAGTTCCATAAAATCTTTCCTACAAAGAGAAAAATTATTTCACAATTTCATTCACTTAACAAGTAAAAAGACTTATTCTTCATTATGAAACTTCTAAATCAAGAGAAGACAACTAAATTAATGAATTTAAACAGGATGCGTAGCCAAATTTTTCAACAAAAAATAAACACCTTTTCAGCACTTTTCAAGCACTCAAAAAATGTTTTTAAGCACTTTGAAAAAATACCATAATTAGACAGGGATGGCAAGTTTTTGACAATTGATGGTGCTATCCGGTTTTTTTGCTTGCCAGTGCCGAAGACGATGGTGCATTACCAACGATGAAATTAAAAAGAGAAATGAAATTTTCCATCGCTATTATAAAGAAAAAAAATTGACAATGTTTAGTTGGTCCCAGTAATCAGCAAAAATTCAAGAGATTTTTCGATTTTATTACACAGGGCGGAAAATGAAGTCGGAAATTAAGAATCTCTTGCAAAATGCAGCAGAGTTGCACGAGCACGTGACAAAAATCCTTACCACTGAATCCAGTTCAGTATACACAATTGCGGACCTGTACGTATTTCTTCAAACATGTAAAACAAATGGTGTTTTCATACACTACAGACCGGCGGTATGCCGAAATAAATTGGGGTTAAATAAATTGTGAAAACATTGAATAGGACAATGTCTTTTTGCATAATTCGTGGCGAAAATCGACATAGTAAAGAAAAAGAATCAGATTTTAGATGGAGGAAAATTAAACACTTTTTAAAAACACCCATAGAAAAAAGCACCTTTAAGGGCTTTTAAAAAACAAAAATCAAAATAAGCACCTTAAAGCGCTTTTCAAAAATGCTACGCACTCTGTTTAAAACTCATTAAAAAATTTTAGTCACTTTAAAAACAAAGAGAATAATTCTTCATTAAGGAACTTCTGAGTTTTAAAACAGGGTTCCCACTCAATTTCAGAGAGAGAAAAAAAATTTCTCTCACTTTTCCAGGTATAATCAGGTAAATTTTAATGAAAATCTAGACCATATTTTATCTATACTATGCAATTTTTCATCAGAAAACTTAAGATTTTTCTTTATTTGTAATGCCAAATATCACTTTTTTTTGGAGCAAAAAAACACCTTTGAATGAGGATGGAAACATGTCAGTTTCACTAAAATTTGAATTTTTACAACAAATAATTGTTAGAATTATTTAATGGATGTTAGATTTATTTAACTTGAATTTCAGAAACTGATTACTGCTACTGACAATTCTAAGAATGCTTATTTTCCAGATATGGATAAAGGAATTTTCTATATTTTCGTAGAAAAAATTGCAATTTTCCTACACTATTCCCTGCTCTTCTAGAGTTAAAATGAAATTCCCTGAAGATTTCAGGTTCTTGCTGTTCTCCCAGACCTGTGGGAGACCTGCTAAAATTATGATTCTTCTAAATTAATGAATCCAACAATTAAAAAAACTAGTTTTAAAATTTTATTCAGACAATAAGACAAATTATGAACTAAGAAACCTCTATTCCACTAAAACTTTACTAAATTAATGTATTTTAGCAGTGAAAAGAAATTTATTTAAAATGCTTATACATAAATTGAAAAAAAGGGAAGAAAATTTTTAATTCAACTTAATTTTAATAGCTTTAAACATATTAACAATCAAAAGAAATTCACTTCAAAATTTTATTAATCAATATATAACATGGAAAAAATTCACAATATATAACATGGAAAAAATTCACAATTGGATTATCTTTTTAAGCAGCAAATGATGATTACTTACTTAATGTATCTTAACATGTTCATAGGTATTTCATCTGTTGTACCATAATCATCATAAAAGACCTACATTATGTTAATATATATTAAAATTATATGAATATATATTATACATATTAAAATTTGAAATCATATATGTCAAAAAATACACACTTAGAAGACATTAGAAAAAGTAATTAAAATCAACAAACACATTATAAAACACAAACTGAAACTGCTAAGAACTGATTATTGCAAAGAAATATCAAAATTAAATCATTCATATAACTTATAATTAATTCTGAAAAGAAAGTTTATTTTTTTTAAATTATATCTGTTGTGAGTAATAATTTCAGCTCACTGATCGACATGATTTAAAATGTTTATATTCAAAGCTACAAATGTACTGCAATTACACATAGAATGTTTATAAACATATGCTACAAAATTTAACAAAATGTAATATTAATTATTGCAAAATTCAAACCTTGCTAATATCAACTCAAAGGGGGAAAGAAAATTACCAGTTCAGAAATTGCTTGAGGAAAATCGTACAGTACAATGTGATTTTCTATTATCTATATCTATTATCTTTTCGTGTTTTCTAATCCTAAATTTCTATTATGAATATATAAATTACTATAAAATCAACTTCAAGAAATATATTTATTTTGAGCTTTAAATTAAATTAATAACTTTTATACATCACACAATAAATAAAACCAATTACTTTAAAAAATAATATGAAGTTATAAAGGAAGAAAAAGATTATAGTTCAGACGAAATCTGAAAAGTGTAATCATGTCAATTTCGATTCATGTGAATCGAAAATTTTCTTCTTCCTTTCGTTTGAATTCATTTAGAAAAAGTAAGAATTTGGCCTGAGCCAATTACCTGTACAAAGTCAAGAGAGACTATTGCTGTTATATGTGCCCGATACCACTGCTTGTCAGAGGGCCAAAGGGCAATACAAAGAGTATTGGGTTTGATGTCCGAAGGTTTCATTCTGTATAAATCACTGGATTCCCCATTATAAAATGTACTGAAAGCAAAGTAAATGTTTCAGGCATGCAAAGAGGAAAGAATGATCATTAGTTTAAGTTCAGAAGTTAGCAAACTATATCACATTAGATCAAATAGCAGAATTTAAAATTTCATATAATATTTAAAGCAAGGTGTTAATGGTTTAAATAAGATACGACTCTACGACGTAACAAGGGAAGATTAAGGTTTGTTAAGCTTTGAAGAGATTTAATGCAATAACATACCTGCCAACATTGAAGAAATAAAATTACAGAGATTTTACTAGTGACATTTTTTGGGCTACGAAAAAAGTTTTGATACATCAAGCATAATTTTGTAAGTCAAAAATTGGAAATAATATAAGCACTTAAATTTAGTGAAATAAAAAATATGTATATAATACTTAAACTAAAGAAGATTTTTTAAAATCATTATTTATAATTACTTAAACTATTAACACTCAACACACTGCAGTATTGGCAATTGTGCCATCTGTTGAGGAAGAAGGGAAGTATTTTTGCCATTAGCAGATATGTTATTGCCAAAAAAAAATTTAAAAATTTCTTAATGTACGGGTAAACAGGAGACAGGCTTCTTTGAAAAATAGGAGACTTAGCAGATATGTAATAATAAATAGAAATATACAGGAATAAAAAATTAAGGATAAATTTACTTACTCTATTTCATCATATAAAATTTTTAAAGCTTCACTAGTTTCTTCTCCAACAAATTGAATATAGAGAAGTCCAGGATTAGCAATGGATGATGTATACACAGGACAAAACTTGGAAAAATCAAAATCTGACGGCAGTTCGTAAGGTTTAAACTTTGCATCTAAAGAAGCTATGCCTGCAGGCTGAAAAATAAAGATGCATAATAAGCACACAAAATGAAAAGATAAAAAATATATAATAATTTAAAGAAACTCAAAGCTATTCTTTCGAAATCCGGCTACTAAGTCCATACAGGGTGCGTAGAAAAATCTTTCAACAAAAAATTAGCACCTTTTAAGTACTTTTTAAGCATTCAAAAAACATTTTTAAGCACCATATACATTAACAAAATGCAAAATAATTTTCAAAGACTTTACATGATCATGATAAATAACTAGTTTCTGACAAAGAACTCTTTTCTTGATTATATTAGCCACCATAAAAAGATCGAGAGAATTTTTAGGTTCGATTTCAGAGGGTGGAAAATGAAGCCTGAAATTGAGAATATCTTGCAAAATGCAATTTCAATCTATAAAGATAGTTTTCGATTATGTTACAATAGCCAAACTTTTATTATGTTTGTATTTATCTTATAGATTAGGTTACACAGGTTAAAAGTCTAATTTCAGAAAAATCGAACTTTTATCAGAAATAGTTATTAAAAGAGGTAATTGAGACAAGAAAAGAGTATCTCTCATTATTTTAGGCTATCATCAAATTTTTGATTTTATTAAACACATAAGTGCCAGTAACCACTTTTAAAAAAAAGTCAATTCGTTTACTGAAAATATATTAAAGCAGATAAATAATTATTTTAAATTTCAAGTTTAAACACCCTAAATTAGAAAAATAAAAATGCAAACATTCAAGAAACCAGACTGAAAAAATAGAAGAACAACTTTTAACTAAATGGTATAAAAGATTAATTTTTACAGTATAGGTCATGTTTACCTTTTGCAAAGGACATACAGGTGGTCGTATAATTTCTTGGAAACTACTAAGTGAGACAACTTTTTCTCCTAGAAGATATGAAATACTATAATAAAAAAGTATTAAAATAAAGTATTAAAATAAAATATTGAAATTTTAAAAGTAGGCGTAACTACATTTAGTGTGAGTCAAGGCTGAACAGTGGTTAAGGCATTCTGATTTATGTAATTAGTTGCATAAATTTATTTTTCACTTTTTAATTATGTCTTTTTCTTAAACATAAAATTGATTACAAAACACTTATACTTGTCCTCAAGAACAATTTTCTTTTTTAATAAAATAATTACAGGACAAATTTTTTTGTTTTAAACATATTAAACATTTAGGTATCTCAAATTCATTAATTCGTTCACCAAGGTGCGTAGCCAGATTTTACGAACTCCAAGAAATAAGCACCCTTTAAGTACTTTTTAAGTACTCAAAAAATAATCTTAAACAATTTCCAAAAAAAAAAAATTTATAATTAGGATCTGTGCAGTAATAAAAACTATTTTTTTATTCTATTTAAGTTCTTAATTTATAAACAGAAAATCAATAAAATTCTAAAACATTTTCAAAAACTTTACATAATCATGATAAAATAACTAGTTTCAGATAAATATTACAGAGAAAATTGTGAAAATGATGTATTTTTTGTAATATAGAACGATAATCGATAGGACAAAGAAAAAATCTCTTTTTAAAACATACAAAACTGAGCATTTTTTAAAGCCCCAAATAAAAGAAAGCATCTTTAAGGGATTTCAAAAAACGTAGATCAAAAATAAGCACCTTTAAGCACTTTTTAAAAATGCACCCTGTTCTCAATTAAATTTTTTGACTCTTTGAGTTATTTTATTCATATTCTCTGACATTTCCCTGAGTTTTCCAAATTTATTGATTTTGTTTATGAGTTATGGCATATCAAATAAGCTGAAAATCACAGAAGGGATGCAAATGCAAAGTTTTGAAGCGTTTTCTGGAAAGAGTAATAATCAGAACGAATATTACTAATTCTCCAACAAGAAAAACCTAAATAGCACACTGCAGCAGTAATTTTATGCCTCCAGAAAACCTAACTTTAAAAAAATATATATTTTTATTCTTTTTGACAGAAGAAATTGAAAATAATTCTGAGTATCAAATTACATTGTTGCTTTTTTCTGATGTAAGTATTTGATCAATTAAATTGTTAATTAAAAATTTTGATTTGAAATGTAACTCTTTCCATGTTTTGAAATTCTTTGTTTTGTCTATCATGAAATCCTTATAAACATCGTCTGNTAATCTATATACAGTACAGAACCCGTTATCCGGAAATCAGAAAACCGGAAAACCAAAAAACCGGAACAAAATTCGATAAATTTTCCCGCAATTTAAAAAAAAAATTTTTTTCCTCATAAGATTTTAGGATTTTTCTTTCTTTTCTGAAAGATGTTTACCTTACCATCATTTCAGAAATAATCATTAGTGTATTACCTCATCGTTTTTTCTTATTTTTAAGATTATCTCCAAATATTTTTTTTTTTTTAGTTGGGTTTAACACTAAAAAAACGGCTTTTTGTAGGGATTCAGAAAACCGGAAAAATCAGTTATCCGGAATAGCGATGGTCCCGATCGTTCCGGATAATCGGTTCTCTACTGTATATATATATATATATATATATAGTATATAAAATAAGACGAGAGTGAAATGATAACAAATAGCCAATCACAGAACATTTGCGGTTAGTAACATACAAAGCAGCCAATTAAAATTGAGAAGGCATCTGTTTAAAAAGGTAATAATTTTTAATAATGCTGCTTGCTAAAATGTTACAACTAAACTTGCCATCTAAAGCTGAGTGGCGATTTTTATTTCATTTTGAATACGTCTAATAATGGTGTCAGAGTTTTCTATTGTTGTCCGTGCATTTCTATTGGCCTAAAAATCACGAGGTAGGATCCAGTTTTTCCTCATTCATTTCAATATTGCTTTGGTTGTCATCAGCATAAAATTAACAACAGTCGTAAAAATATTGTTTTCCTTTAAATATTTTTGTATCCCTAATTCAAACTTATTTTCCAGTACTGCTATTATTAGCAAAAATATTAAATTATGGTTGTGAACTCATCAAATTTGTCTGAACAATATAATTATAAGAATATAAATGTTATTTTTAAAAAATGATTAGTTTGAAAAACCATTTCTGTTCACCAAGAGATCTAAATGTTTATAATATTAATAGATAGTAATATTTGGAAGTGTTAACTAGAGGCACAAGCGTAAGCAAACAGAATTCCTTTTAGTACATATATGTTAAGTGAATAATTTTAACCTTAGTAGAAAAGACAATTATTGCGAAGATATCATCGGGGTTGGTGAGCTGCAGCGAACAGGGGGCTCAGCCCCCTACTATATATACATATGTCTTGGAGACAACCTTTCCTCTTATTTCTCTAGTTGTTGCTTTTTTTAAAAAATTTTGAGCAATTTTTAGCATGTAAAGTTATTTTTATTGAAAATTGGGTTACCACTTAAACAGAGAGATAAACGATAGGGTCATTTTTGGCCAAAAAAAACGTTTTTCGTTTAGAAATTCACGTTCTGAGTAAACCCTAAAATATAATAAAATTTATGTACTATCAAAAAACAGAATTAATAAACAATAAAAGCAGCTTACCCTCAATAAAAGTGATTTCAAGAGGGACACGAGAAGCTATACTCAGCAAGAAATTTTCTAAATTGTCAAAACCAAGATCCCTTACATAAAGTGGCTCAGTACAATTTATCTGAAACAGATGAATGATAACATATTAAAAAATAAACTTGCAATACATTTTTATTCATAATTAAATTAATTCATATATGGTCACAAAATATTCTAACAGCAGTAAGTTCCATTAAAAGAAACTTACGTTAAACTAAACAAATGAATATCAGAATAATTAATTAGCACAGTTATTGAAATATAGTGATCACAAGTGGAATTTAGTGTATTAACTTACCAATCAGCTCAAATCTGAAACAAAAGAAAACTATGATCCCTTTTTTTTTAACTATCAGATTCTAATTATTTATCAGACACATTAAATAATGACCTACAGCATGGACAAGATTGAATAAGAGTGAAAATTCAAGACATTATCGTTTGAGCATGGCAGAAGAGCCTTTCCATGAGGGTACAAAATTTTAATGTACTTTTTCAAAATGTAGAAGTTTAGAATTCAGTGTAGAAAGGGATAGAAAGAGGCATAAATGCAAAAAAACTTCACCAAAATGCAGAAAAGTTGGTCGCAATCCCCGTGGCAGAATTTTTTCAGGCTTTCTGTGACAAATTTCCCAAGCACTTTTTCCTCAGATTTTGCTTTAAGACATTTTTAATTATTACCATTACTAATTTAAAGTAACAAAAACTTTGTGTTTACAGTAGAAAGTATAGAATAAAAATAAATAAAAAATTTTAATTGTAAAAGTAAAATTTTTTAAGTCTAATATTATATGTGATATTCTCGCATTTCGTAGATGGAAAAATGCACTAGTTATTTCCTCTTTTGAATTTTGTAAATCAATACGCAAATTAAAATCCCTAAATAAATCAAACAATAGCAAATCAAAAATCGTAAAATCCGTGCAGTAACTCTCAAAATAAAGATCAAGAATCATGCGAATAGGACTCTTAAAAAAAAAGAGAGATACTCAAATAAGTGTATGTAAAATAAGGCGATCTTTAAAGGTAAAAAAAATGAAAGAAAGAACATCATTTCTAGAGCAAACTATCTTTTAAACTTTCGCGATTTCCAATTTTTTTTTTTTTTAGATTATTATTTTGAAATTCTAGCTGAAGTCAGTCATTACAGATTTTTTTTTAGAACCTCAAATGAGTAGAGAAAAAACATGATTATCTCTTTCCTCCGAACGAATCTCAGAACGAAATCTTTAAACAAAAAATTCTGCAAAAGAAAAAAAAAACATTTTTCAAGAAATTATGCAGAAAGTAAATCCAAAATCTTTCCCTTCCCAAATGAAAAATCTTTCTGCAAAAACTCTGTAACCTTCTGCGACAATGTCGTCGTGTCACTGCAATTCTGCCACGGAGGTGGCAATATTAATTAAATCTGTAAGCTCAGCTATAATAATTGGTTTTAATTGCCTCCTCTACAAGACAACGTTAAAAAAAAATTAAAATTACATACATTTTTACAAGTTTTGAAAGTTTCTAAGAAATTTTATAAGCAATTTCACAGTGCAATTTAAACAGTCACTAGATTGAATGCATACAATAAATTTATTTAATACTGTGAGAAGACAAGTGGACCTAATTATTGTGGTCTCGTCATTTTTAAAGAAATGAACCTGAATATACTTACACAATAATGGTGGATAAAATTGGAGATGGGAATCCCTTCAGGATTGGCTTGTAATATTTTTCGAATGTTTAAAATTATGCATTCAACAAACAAAACACTAACTTCTGCTGGTCCAGATTCAACAGCTGTCAAAAAAATAAAAAATCAGCACCATTCATTAAGAAAAAAGAAGATAAAAACAGCATTATGGGAAACGGGAACTAAAACACATTTTTAATAAAAACATTGACAATAAACAATTAGTATTTCCACCTCTTAATTGCTGATAACAATAAATGAATTAACTACCAAGTTTTAAATTTATTTAAAGCTAGGTATTGAACAAATTTAAACTAGGATATAAATTTTAAAACACTATGACGCTTAACGGTTATTTCTCTGGTTGTCTTACTTGGTGGGCAATCACAACTCAGAGCAGTTGCGCACCTTAATCCATTGTTTCTGACCAGAGGCAGACTTTTTTCGAGCTATCTGCGACAAAACTATCTAGCACTAATATCTTTCTGTGAGATACTTTTAATAATAACAAACATATATGTTACTATAATTTATTTTTTGTAATTGCACATGTAATAATTTCTTATTCTAATATTATGGGTGATATTCTAGCATTTTGTTGGGAGGGGTAACACACAAATTATTTCTTTCTTCCCATTTTGTAAACAATCATCACAATAAAAAAAAACAATTAAAAATCGTGAAATCTGTGGCCAAAAAAAAAAGATCTTTGACAAAATCACACGAATTGGACTTTTCAAAAAGGGGTTACTCAAAAGCATAATAAATAATTAAAATAAACAGTATCGCATAAAAAATAACGGATTTTAAAACTATCGTGAAATCAATAGCAATGACTGCCAAAAATTCGATAGAATCGTTGTCTTAAAAAGTAAATACTCAAATGCACGATTCAAAATTCCCATATTGTTTGAAATATATTGGGATATTTAAAAACCATGTCAAAATCAATATCAATAACTACTGAAAATACATTCGAAACATTACAGAGCTTTACAATACCATAGGGATAAATTAAGCGCATCAAAAAAGGATTATCTAAATGCATGATTCAAATATTACATGTAAATAAATTTCAGTAGAAAAAGAAAAAACCAAAACTTTTTACTTTTCACCGTTACAATGTCACTGTGATACTGAGACAGGGTGTTTCGGTACATTTTGTTTTTATGTATGTATCATATTCTTTTAATTATTCTGTTGCAAATATTATTTTTATAATGTTAATACAACCCGTTTAAATCATTTTGCAAACTAGCACAGTTCTGCATTAATTGCTCAGAAAAATCTACTGACATATAACAAAATGTATTGAAGGTAATTCGTTTTGAGTAGTGACCTTAAGCCAACACTGGGAAGCAATCCCGAGACACAATAAGTCAGTGCTTTTTAACTGCTGAGTCATCGCTTCTCAATAAAATAAAAAAATAAATAAAAAATAAAATACTGAATAATATTATATTTTTACCAAGAATAAAAATATTTAAATAAAAAGCACAGCATACTTCTCAAACTAATTGAATAATGTGGCTCTTAACAAACAGTCAACATCAGCCTTTTTGCAAAGTGCGAGATTAAATGGAAAAGTCACCAGAGTATTTTAAAATTAGCCTGACAATTTTTAGGAGTATTGGAATGAGCCTATAGCTTAAAGAAGTTAGAAAATTCTTCATTTCTAACTCAACAAGCAATATTTATTATAGGTTGTGCNCTGAATCGAATTTCACGAGTTGTAATATTGTGTGAAAATATCAGGTATATTCTAAATCACAAATAAAAATGCAGCAATAACGGGAAAGAAGAAAAAACACGTTCGAAAAACCTCTTAAAAAATGCGTGTTAAAATCGGTACAACGCAAATGATAAAATCGGCACAAACAGAGCACGTAAAAAATAATTATTTTAATGCGCGATTCAAAACTCGCTTGCTGTCAAAGTATTAAAAATATCATAATCTTCGGTAAAAACGCAATAACTACTAAAACAATAACCAAAATACTTTAATATTTTAGATGAAATTGGAGTAAATAAAGTCCATCAAAATTTTATGTAATTTAAATGCGAGATTTGAAATTAAAATGTCGCAATAGCGTATAAAAAATATCGGTACTTTCAAAACCTTGTAGAAATGTGTAGCAATAATTTCCAAAATAACGATTGAAAAATAATTTGATTTGCGATAAAATCGTTACAAATGAGCCATTTCAAAAAATGGTTATCTAAATGAGCGATTCTTTACTCGCGATTCGTAAATATCGTGCTAAAATATCGAAGTTTTAAAAACCGGGCGGAAATGTGCAGCAATAACTGTTGAGGAAAGGATCTAAAGTCATTTAGATTTTCCATGAAGTTTGCACAAATAAAGCGTTTCATAACTTTCAAATATCGCTATTTCAGAAACTACTTGAAAATGGGTAGTAATAACTACCGAAAAGTCATTGGAATCGGCACATACGAAAAGCGTCAAAAGTGGTAATTAAAATTCGTAAATCGTAATAATGATGTATTAAAAATATTGGGATTTTTAAAACTATGCTGAAATCCGTAGCGTTAACCATCGAAAAACTAGATTGATTGAGATTGGGTGCGTCAAAAACTTAAAAGTGCAAATTTAAATTACCGAATTTTTTTTTAATTATTTTTCAAAAACAAATATTCAATTTTTTTTTCATTTTGTTCAGATTGCGGCCGCGGGCCGCACATCTAGGGTTGGCGGGCCGCATTTGGCCCGCGGGCCGCAGGTTGAGCACCCCTAGTGTAAATTAAGCGCATCAAAAAAGGATTATCTAAATGCATGATTCAAATATTACATGTAAATAAATTTCAGTAGAAAAAGAAAAAACTAAAACTTTTTACTTTTCACCGTTACAATGTCGCCGTGTCGCTGCGATACTGAGACAGGGTGTTTCGGTACATTTTGTTTTTATGTATGTATCATATTCTTTTAATTATTTTGTTGCAAATCTTATTTTTATAATGTTAATACAACCCGTTTAAATCATTTTGCAAACTAGCACAGTTCTGCATTAATTGCTCAGAAAAATCTACTGATATATAACAAAATGTATTGAAGGTAATTCGTTTTGAGTAGTGACCTTAAGCCAACACTGGGAAGCAATCCCGAGACACAATAAGTCAGTGCTTTTTAACTGCTGAGTCATCGCTTCTCAATAAAATAAAAAAATAAATAAAAAATAAAATACTGAATAATATTATATTTTTACCAAGAATAAAAATATTTAAATAAAAAGCACAGCATACTTCTCAAACTAATTGAATAATGTGGCTCTTAACAAACAGTCAACATCAGCCATTTTGCAAAGTGCGAGATTAAATGGAAAAGTCACCAGAGTATTTTAAAATTAGCCTGACAATTTTTAGGAGTATTGGAATGAGCCTATAGCTTAAAGAAGTTAGAAAATTCTTCATTTCTAACTCAACAAGCAATATTTATTATAGGTTGTGCAAAATTTAAGTATAGCAACAGCTTTTCTTTCAAAAAAAAACTTTACGCTTCATTATAAAAAGCCCAAGATTCAGTCTGATAGAGTAATTCTTTGGACATAATCTAATGAGTCTAAAGGAATATGAGCTGATTGTAATAAACCTAAAAAATAACAGGCAGATTAGAAAATATTGAAGACTTTTCTAATTTGAATGAAGCACTTGCAAATAGCCAGTTTTCCAATTAGCCAACAGCATATACAGAGTGTGTAGTAAAAACGCTTTTTAAGTACTTTTTACGCACTCAAAAAAATTTTTAATCACTTACCAAAAATTAAAAAATCACAAAAATGATCTGTGCAGTAATAAAATAAAAACATTTCTCCATCGTTTAAGAATCTTAATTTATAAACATAAAATCAATAAAATTCAAAAACATTACATAATCATGATAAAATAACTAGTTTGTGATAAATATTGCAGAAAAAATTTTGAAAGTCGTGCATTTTTTGTAATTTAGAACGACTATCAATTGGTAAAGAAAAAATCTGTTTTTAAAAGATAGAAAATTAAGCACTTTTTACAAACCCCAAACAAAAAAAAGCACCTTAAAGGGCTTTAAAAAATTGTAAATCAAAAACAAACACTTATAAGCACTTTTTAAGAACTCTACACACCCTGACATATTTTACATGATAAAAAGTAGACTTACTGGCTTCGTTCATGGTAGATTCTGCAGAGTATATGACCCAATCCTTTTTACTACCTTTCAGCGGCTTACGCACCAAAATATCAGGAACAGCATCGATTAGTTCAGACAGATTATTGAATCCAAGACTGTGCAAATCAAACGGCTTGCCTGTGCACTTCTGCAATGAACACATTAATCATGCATTTTTTAAAAATAAATACATGAATTTTAAAGTGAAAATAAAATTGTTCACAGAAATTACGAATTAAACAAGAACATTGCGTATTTTAATCAAGAAAATTCATTGTTTCTGATTTTTCGGTATCAAAAAATTCCATAGAACTTAAAATTTCAAAAAGCTATGGTAATTAAGAACTGTAATTGGCTATAGCGCTTCTTACATAAGATTTTGACCTACTGCCAAATTGGGGTCAATCTACATATGGGTGAACAGAAGAAATTTGCTATATTAATATTATTCAAGGTTGGCAAGTTTCTGCCGAGGCGGTTAAAACCACTGGTAGAAACCGGTTAAAACTGGCATGGCAGAAACACTTTTCTGCCACATTTGTAGCAGAAACTGGCAAAAATTCAGAAAATGACATAAAAGTAAGTACTGAGATTGACATACAATGGATAATTCATAGGAAAAACAATTAAATGTGAAACAAAGTACAATTTATTTACAAATTTATCACCATTCAAAATCAAATATTACATTGTTTGCACTCTGCAGTAATCTATAACAAAAGACAAGTTTTGATGCAGTTTTTAAACCTAAACAATTTTTCAATTTGCTATGTACGAATGTACTAGCAAGCATTGCCATCAAGGAACAAGCAAGATTTGTGAAACTTTCATCGATTGCATATTTTTTAAAACTGAACCACCATGTAACAGCTGGGGTGGTTGTCAAAACTTGACTGGAAAAATAAGTTTCAGGAAATGGGGTTGATTTGTTTTGCAAAGCTATGACATAAGGTACAAAATCTGGGTTAATATTGGCGAGTAAAATTCTGGCACTTTCTTCTTGAGCACATGATAATTTCAATCCCAAATATTTTGGATGCAACATATAAGCTAGCTGATAATCAGTAACTGCCTGTTTAAATCTGTATGTAAATAAAATGTCATTAAGCAATTGCTAGAACTAATATAGAAGTTTTTTTAGTTTCTGCAGTTTTTGCCAGTTATAACCAGTTTCTGCCACTGGAAGGGTAAAAACCATTTTCTGCCGGCAAAAAGCCAACCCTGATATTATGTGATTATTTAAACTTTTCCAGTTGCAAATTATTATTATAAAAGAATCAGATTTTACTTTTCTTATTATCTATGTTAACCTAAAGCTAAATTAAATTGGAATGCCAAATTCCTATTTATTATGTCAGTAACTCTATACATTAACATACTGAGAAAGTCGAACCTAACTCCAAGACATCCTTAAAAAAGTAACCAATAAGAAAACAAAACGTCCATCCAATAGAAGACAACTTATTGAAGCTATAATTGATTCTTGGCACCATGTGATTACGAAAGATGAACTCCAAACACTCATTCACTCGATGGAAAGACGCTGTGAAGCTGCCTTAAAAATTAAGGGTTAGCCTACTAAGTATTGTGTAAGTATCACTTTAAAAAAATGCAAATCTAAGATAGATCTTACTATTAATTGCATAACTTTTTTTGTAATACTGTATTTATTATTAAATTCTACATTAAATTACCTTCAATTTGATATATAAACGTTTGTATTTAAGTGAAAATTAATATATTCTACACGCACACAAAATTGAAAAACATGTAACTTTCAAAAAGTGTCCACACTTTTGGCCACCACTGTATATATAACAGCCATATACCCCGTAGCAGAATTTTATTGAGATTTCTGCGGCAAACCTCCCTAGCATTAATATCTTTCTGCAAGATCCTTTTAATAATAACAAATATATATGCAAAAAGGAAAATCAAAATTTTTTACTTCATAATTCTCAAATGAGAATTTAAAAATCACGAGCATTTATTTCCCCTCCACCAATATAGTTTTGGCGAGGAAAAAAATTCTTTCAAAAATTTCTGCAGAAAATAAAACTATTTACTTCATTATTCTTAAATGATTAAATAATATTCTTAGATAATTTGAGCAATAGGGAATTAAAACAAATTAGATTTTTTTCAAATCAACCATCATGAGGTGCATTTTCAAAATTCTTCTACTATTCTTAATTGTTTCTTAGTGTTGTTATTTGGATGTTCGAGTTAAGCATGCTAGGGAACTAAACACTGGGGGTTCCGCTTCGGCTGACCACCTGACCGGAACATCTGCTCCTGCACCCCAGAGCCCAAGGTCAAGAAAACTGAGATGGGCACAGTAGGCCTTGGCCCTCAAGGGCTGTCGCGCCGCTGAGTTTAGTTTAGTTTATTATTTATAAGAAAACATACTTTGAAACAAATTATGAGTTTCAATGATGACTAAATTAGATTTGTTAATATTTCTGAGGCTGAAGCAAGAGTGTACTTAAAATAGATTTAAGTATTGTTACATTTAATTTTTGGTATTTTCTAAAAACTTTGTGGTGGGATTTGTTTTACAGAACATCGAATTTCCTTTTTCTATATTTAAATCTTTGTTTTTAATTTTGAATTTAATTGTTCTTTTCTTTTTGGCTGCACTCTGATAATTTTTATAACAGTCAATCATGCAAATGGCAGATCAGTGTCAATTTTTCGTACTTCCATGATTTCTGTTTCTGAAGAACATTTATTTTAAGTAATGCAGTTTTTTTTTCATTTTTTATTTCTTATATATTGTATATATTGATCCTCAAAAAGGGCAGGAAATTTGAACCAGCATTGAAAAAAAAAATACAATTAAAAGCAACTGCAGAAATTAGATTGATGCATAGAAAAAAAAGAATTTATTTTTTAGTTTTGGGACAATTTTAAAAATAAAATTATAGCAAAGAAAACATAGATGAGGAGAAGGGAGTAGAAAGTTTAACAGACTAGTTTAATTATTCCTCAGCTAAAAATTGGAACTTGAACAATTGGTCAGACGATATTCTGTAAGGAAGTTTCATTGATCACCCCATATTTTAATGAAAAATAATAAATAAATAAAAACGTTTTTAAAGCAAACAATAGGTTTGTTATTTCGGAAAATTTTTGTTAAGGTTTTTTTTTGTATAAATCCACAGTGATCACATAAGTATCAAGCGAAGCTTGGGCGAAATAATTTCCCGTGTAGGCCACACAATATGGCAATTCAACTTTTAAATACAATAGACCGCAGTTTATTTGCTGAAAATTATTGTAGTTAAGTTTTTGCAATGTAATTCCAAAACGTTTTCTTCAATAAGGAAACAAATTGGATTGATTTTACACAATCCCTGAATATAAGCACATGTGTTAAAGATAATGGAATTCAAAATACAGTACAGAACCCGTTATCCGGAAATCAGAAAAACGGGAAAAGCAAAAAACCGGAACGAAATTTGATAAATTCTCCCGCTATTTTTTTTAAAAATGTTTTATTCCTCATAAGATTTTAGGATTTTTCTTTCTTTTTTGAAAGATGTTTACCTTACCATCATTTTGGAAATAATCATTAGTGTACTCCATCATTTTTTCTTCTTTTTAAGATTATTTCCACAAAAAAAAATTTTTTTTGTTGAGTTTAACAATAAAAAAACGGCTTTTTGTAGCAATTCAGAAAACCGGAAAAATCAGTTAACCGGAATAGCGATGGTCCTGATCGTTCCGGATAATCGGTTCCCTACTGTATATTAAAGTCGTAATATTTTACACATTTTAAAGCAATACATTTTGTTTACAATAAAAGTTTTCAGAAATTTTAATTTAGTTAAACCAAAAATTTTGCCAGGGCGGCCTAAATTTACCCTGAACCTCGTTCATGTAATCAGCCTTTGAAAACATTACTTAAGCAGATTTACGAGTTAGTTGCTGTAGTGTGCAGAAAATGTGTAATGTGTACACTACAAAAATACAATTCCAAAACACTAGTATATAAGACATGTTAACTCTATTCTATTATGGGAGGTACCTTTTCATAGATGAAGGTTGACATTGTCTATAACTTCTCTCCCCACAAATGCTATAAAATCTTGATTATTGATGCAACATTTTATGCAAAATAGTTTTTATTTAATAGAGAGAGAAAATTGCATGGTCTGTGAGTTATTTCATTACTACGAAGAGAAACATATATTTCATAATCAAGGCATATTTTATTAATTACAAAAAATAGCAGAAGAAAAAATACCTCATAACAAGATGAAAAGTGGACTGCAAATATTCCTTGAGGATAGTTGCCAATCATCTAAAATAGCAACAAATAAGTCAATTGATAGCAACAAAAAAATAATTATCAACATTATTCTGCGCACATTACGTTGTATTTTTTAAAAACAGTGATTAAACCATTTATAATTAACCCTTAGACGACTAAAGGTGTATAGATGCGTCCAGGGAAAACCACTGGTGGGCCTATAGGGTTCACATGAGCATTAAATAGCATAAGCTATAAGTATAGGCTATGGATGCAAATGAATGCTAAGTAAAGGCTCTGGCTGTTTCAGGGTGCGTAATCAGATTTTTCAACAAAAAATAAGCACTTTTTAAGTACTCAAAAATATTTTTAATCACTTTCCAAAAATATAATTATAATTAGGATCTGTGCAGTAATAAAAATTATTTTTTTCTATCATGTAAAATTCTTAATTTCTAAACATAATATATAAAATTCAAAAACTTTACATAATCATGATAAAATAACTAGTTTCTGATAAATAATGCAGAGAAAATTGCTAAAATAATGCATTTTTTGTAATTTAGAGACAATCATTATAGTTAAGAAAAAATCACTTCTTAAAACATAGAAAATTAAGCACTTTTTACAAACTCCAAATAAAAAAAGCACCTTTAAAGCACTTTTAAAAAACGTATAACAAAAATAACCATTTTAAGCACTTTTTAAAAATGCTATGCACCCTGTGTTTACATCAATCTCAAGTGTCTGTTCAGAATTACTTTCTCTCGTATTCGTCCAACACTCGCAGAACTCTCACATCGTGTTGCTCAGCAACAAGAAAAATTAATCCTAGCTATTCACTAGCTAAACATATTAAGGTCTGAAAGCTTTTGACGATTAATTGGCAGCTTTATCCAGTTTAAACCATCAATTCAAAACTTCCTTTTTGACATAGTTTTGTATAAATCTCAAAAACCAAAAATTTTGGATTAGAAAAGAATTATTGGCTATTATAAATAAGAAATAATTTTAAATAAAGATACAAATAAAATTACAAATGATCAATCATGTTCTTTAATCATTTTGACATTAAAGCCACTTTTTGTTTCGACAGTAATTTTCAAAAATCCAAAATTTTGGAAGTAGGAAATCATAATCCATTTTAATTATAAGATAATATAAAAATATGTAAAATTGAAATTTATCCAATCTGTCAATTTTTTTTTAAATATTGAAAATAAAAATACAAAAACAATCATCTTATAAAAAAAAAGAAACAATTAACCATCTTGTTCATTGTGTGTAAATTTAATTTTCATTTTTTTCCCTCATTTTTCCCATAGCATGAGATTATTAAACACTAGTTTCAAACCTTTCTGTATTCAAAGTTTACTTTCCCATTTTAATTGAATCAGACCGAAATTTGAGAATATTCTTTTGATTGATGCATGGCCTAGAATTTAGATGTACCAAAAGTATTATAAACTAAACTCAGTGCTGTGACTGCCCGTGGAGGGCCATAGCATACAGTGCATATCCCGGTTTTCTTAATTTCGAGCTAACACAGAACCTCCAATGTTTAGTCCCCAAGCATGCTTCGTAATCATTTTATCAACCCACTGAAGAGAGGAAAAGTTGAGTCAACCTTGCCCAGTTTAAGGATAAAAAAAATAATAAGCTGCTATAATTTTTAATTGAAAGAATAAATGTTTACCTTAATCAGGTTATTTCTCACAATTCCAGATACAAGATTGCCTCCTTTAACTAAAGGAGAGTCAAATGAAAATGGATATTTGTCATCCAATAAATGGTTCGTTGGGTTGTCCTTAAAATTATGCAATGGAAAATCATCCAAAAGGTCTGCTTTTGAAGTGAATGTGATATCATGATCACGGATCTTGTGAGATGATGATGTAGGAGTGTTAGTTGATTCTGTGAGACCTGAAAGTTAAATGTAAACAAAGTAAATTTTTTGTAAAGATTTTACAGTGCTGCTATGTGTTTTTTAACCTTTCTTTTTAAATTTTCATCGCCTTGTAGATAGTTCAACTTTCATCAATAGAATTTTCTGAGCTTTACCAGTCAACATTTTAAAATAAAATTTAAAATGAAGTATAAATTTCTCATAACTTTAGCGTTATTTTGACAATGCTGGTATTATTTACTGTATTTTTTAGTATGAAATTGATTTAAGCAAATATTAAAAAATGAAAACAATTTTTAAAACCAAATTTGAAAAAAAAAAAAAAAAAAACAATTTAAATAAAAATTTAATTTAATTTAAATAAAAATAAAAAACAAGAAAATTGTAAAGATATGTAAGCAAACAGAAAATTCTAAAGATATGTATGTATGTTAGCAAAAACAAAATTTCATCAGGGGACACAGTGTCTGCTAACACACTCCATTACGGGACCTCGGAGCGTCAGTTTTTGGTTTAACCACTGACTACAGAAAGGCTCCAGTGTGTTAGTAGACAGTGTGCCCCCTGATGAAGTACTGTTTTTGCAAATATACATATCTTGAGAATTTCGCTTTTGCTTGTTTTTGATTTCTAACTTTTTAGTTCAATAATTGCATTTTTTTAACATACCTTTCCGATCTTCCGTTTCTGTTGTAAGGTGTCACAAACTATTTAACTTTTATAAATTTACATTGAAAATGCTTTACAAGCCACAAGTTTAAAATAAAAGTTGAAAGAGATTTTTTAATAAATAAATCATACAACAAAAAAATAACTATTTTAACAAAAAGTTTTTACACGCAAACATGCTACAGCAGTTTTGAAAAAAATAAAGTTATATAACTAATAAAGTTATATAACTGAAGTTATATAAAGTTATATATATTAAAGTTATATAACTTGTAATAACTTATCGCAATAACAAAACTTGAAACAGGTTTTCAAAATTATGAATTAAACTGATATAAAAATTACAAATTAAAATATTAATTTTTAAAAAAAATCTTTTATAATAAACATTTTTAGTAAATTTAGTTCATATTATAAGATTCTTAGTTCATACAAAATAGCACTACTTGTTAAAATCTTAATTGGAATAATTTCTTATTAAGAGTCAACCTAAAGATAAGATATTCTTTTGAAAATTGGAATTTTCATTTTAATAATTTTAATTAAAAGAATTTCTTAATTATGAGTGCAACTAAATCAATTTGTGAAAGATCCCTTAATTAACCATTTAAAAAATTTCTAAATATACTAAACCGTTAATTGTAAAATAACCTAATCATTTGTATAATTTAGAATAACCTAAATAAAGAGAATTCTAACTTTTGAAATAACTTATCTACATTATACAATACTTGATTTCATCTTCTGAAAATGGTAAATAGAAATATGACCCCCAATTCACAATTAAAAATTTTTAATTAATATTATTCAAGAGTCACAAAAAGTTGAAAACAAATCTGGTAGAGTAGAAAAAAATCTTCACTTACTTCAACACATTACGGTCCCTCAGTTTAGCATTCTAGTTTTTGCAGACTTATTAATTTTATGATGGAAAAATTACAATTTTGCAGATCCACAAAAAAAGGGACATTAAAAGTGGCTTATTGAAAAATGGTGAAATAAATTATTAAAATTCAGGATGACATGGAATGAATTATCCACAAAAAAAGGTGGAAAATAAATAATTAAATCACTTTGAGTAAATTGTTTCTCCTTACATTAAAAGTTTTTTCCCCCTGAATAAAGTAAACATTTTATTAATAAAAATTGGTACATAAAATTATGAATTTTAAGCATAATTGCCTAATTTTTATAATTAACAGCACTAAAATTTCAAATTATAAAACTTGTGCAGTATATTTTTAATCTTTAACTAAAATATTTTTTTTTAATTACATTAAAACTCTAATTTATTACTCCCTTTAAATGTTCCAATATTTTCTTTATTTAAAGAGAAATAAAACTTAGTAATCAAGTAAAATATATTATATAAATAATAAAAATACAAGAGACTACATTACTTTTAAGACCTTCAAGCTGTAAAGGTTCTTCAAACTTATTTTCTTTTTCTTTCAGGACTTTTTGTGCATAACTATCTTGTATCATTCCTGCAATTAAAAAGAATAAATTACTGCGACTATTGCTTGCTGTATTTAATTCAAAACAATCACAAGAGAACTTCATTAACGAAACAAAAAAAATTTTAATTTTACAACAAAGGAAATGTTAGATATTTTTTTAAAAAGTAATTTCATTAAATTAAGATAGATAAAATTAAATAATATTTGCAGAAAAGAAAACTAAATTCTTTACTTCATTATTTTTCTTTTTTCTCAAATGAGAATAGAAAAATCACGAGCATTTTTTTTTTCATCCAATGCATGAGAAAGGCATCTTTTGAATATAATTCTGAAGAAAAGATAAAATCTTTCTGAAGAAAAGAAAACCAAAAGTTTTTACTTCCAAAAGGAAAAATCCTTCTGCAAGAACTCAGTAACGTTCAGCAACAATTTTGCCACAATTCTGGAATGGGGTGCTTAATTAATACTATACAAATGAAAACTATTTTAAAATGTTCTATTTTAACAGCAAAAACTTATCAAAATGATAACTTACTATTAATGAGAAAATTATCTGAAGGTGCATTGGTGCTTCGCTTGTTTTCTGAAAAAGAACATTATCAGGATAATCTGGTAATTTCGGGATGATCTGAATTGCATTGTCAAGAAATTATGATTAAAAATAAAATATTTAATAACAATTATAAAATTCTGTTATTTATGAAAATTTTGGCTGGGAAAAAATATTTTACTTTTTACATTTAGAAATTTTATAGATATCGTGGTGTAGCTAAATCTTTCAACAAAAAATAAGCACCTTTTAAGTACACTTTAAGAACTCAAAATATATTTTTAAGCACTATGTACATTAACAAAATGCAAAATAATTTTTAAAGACTTTACATGATCAGGATAAAATAACTAGTTTCTGATAAAGAACTCTTTTTCGTGATTACATTAGCCATTATAAAAAGATAAAGCGGTTTTTCTGTTCGATTTCAGAGGGTGGGAAATGAAGCCTGAAGTTGAGAATATCTTGCAAAATGCAGCAGAGTTGCACATTAGAGTGCAAGAATCTCACCGAACCCAGCTCAGTAGATGCACATGCAGACTCGCAAGTATTTCATCAAACGTGCAAAATGATTGGTGTTTTCATACGCTACAGACCGACGGTACGCCGAAATAGATTGTGGTTGAATGAATTGTTAAAACGGTGAATAGAACAATGTGAAAAGCACACTTTTGCATAATACGTGGTGAAAATCGACATGGTAAAGAAAAAAAATCTCATTTTTGAAAAGGGAAAATTAAGCTCTTTCTAAATACATCCACTAAAAAAAGTACCTTTAAGAGCTTTTAAAAAACGAAAATCAAAAATAAACATCTTTAAAAACTCTACGCACCATGCAATATAAATTCCTGATATAAAATGTTATTATTTCGGCTTTACTTGCAAATAAAATTTAAGAAAAAAATACCATTTTTGTTAATATCACAATCAAAAAAGTCAGGAGGCTTTGGATTTAGTGTTGATGATTCAAGATGTGATGGTTGTGAATGATTCCTTGTTGGCTGATTACTTGTATCTGAAGAATACAAAAAAAAAACTAATTGTCACAAAATGTAGTCCACTAAAAGATTGTAATAGAAAAATCAACAAGGCACATTAAAAAAATCTGAATTTGAAGCAGAACATCAATTTCAACGCAAACCTCAAAACCTGAGGCTTTGCGCTTTATGGAATTTTGTGTCATATAGATCATCATTCCAATTTAACCTTACCTACTAAATTGACAATATTAGTGTGGGACAGAACAATCTTAAAATAATATTTAGTTACAAATTCTTAAAAATACAAAATATACACTTAAGTATTTATTTACAAGAAGAAAAAAAAATTCAAATTTTTGAAGCATTAGAACTAGCTAAAAAAAAATTTTTTTTTATATAAATTTTAGTTCGGATAGTTTTTAAATTTTCGCTTTTTAGCAATATTTAAATAAATAATGTAAAAAGATAGTTCTTCTTAGTGTCTTTATGGAGAATGGTGGCTTATAGAATTGCCTTTTACTACATTTCTCTTGTGTAGTACTATAAATCAAGCTGTATTTTATAGTTTCAGTTGGCAAGAACTGTTTTACTATTTTGAAACCAATTGCACAGTAGACATTCTGCAAATGAAAGAAACTGGAGGGAAAAAAATCATTAACAGCTTGAAAATATTTGGAAAAAGACTATCTCAAAAAAGCCTAAATCCCACTTTCCCAATTTTGTGAGCTAACATTAAATAATTATTAATATAGAAAAATATCATTTTAAAAAAAATTTATAACCTGCCAGAAAAGTTTATCTATTTATTATTTAATAAAAGCTAATAAAATCATAAAATTCCAGGCACAAGGTAAAAATCTAGAGATACTAAAAAATGCTAACATTCTTATAAATATATTTATTAAAGTATTGAAAAGAAATGCTATGATAAATGCAAAAATATATGAGAACTCTGTTCTGAGCTCCCTTTAGGGGAAATATATATATATATATATATATATATANTAGCCACGGATTTGCCCGAAATGGATTTGCACATGGTAAAAATTGTATAAATTAACAAAGAAACTTATTAGTAAATAATTTTAACTATTCTTTTATATATATATATATATATATATCTTTTTTTTTATGGTCAACAAAGCAAAACATAAAACAGAGTTCTAAATCAATTTCAGAAAAAAAATTCCCTGACTTTTCCATGGTATACCAGGCAAATTTCAATGAAAATCGAGACCATATTTTCATCCAACTTTGATTCTTTTATTTGTAATGTGAAATGTTAAGATTTTCTGGGTAAAAAAAATATATATAATTTAATGAGGAAGGGAACATTTCAGTTTGATTAAAATGTGAAATTTTTACAGCTAATAATTGTAACAGATGTTAGAATTTTTTAACTCGAATCTCAATAACTGAGTACTGTTACTGACAACTTTAAGACTGGTTATTCTTCAAATATGATATAGGGGAATACTCCAGGTTTTTGTAAAAAAAAAATTGCAACTTTCCCTGATTATTCTTTGATTTTTGGAGTTAAAATAAAATTCCCTGATAATTCCAGGTTTTCCCTATTCTCCTTGACCCGTGGGGATCTTTTGGGGTTGGCGAACATTAGTTAACTATGCAAATGAACAGGCATAAAAGAAAATAATTAGTAGCTAAAACTGTGAAAAATTGCAAAACAATTAATACATGAATTAACAATATATAATTCCTTGGATAAAATTATGTTATTTTAATTTTATTTGCAATCAAAAGTGAAAATATACCATTTTTCTTAAAATCACTATCAAAAAAAATCAAGGGCCGCTTTATTGAGTGTTGATAATTCAGCACGATACGCTGGTGAATATACAATAAAAGAACTATTTAAAAATTTTTAAAAATATTTAGACGTTTTCTTTTAATAGACTTTTATTAAAATATAAGATTTAGAGTACAACTATGCAGTATTTGAATAGATCAATTTACAGTACCATTGCTAATTTACTGAATTTCAAACAAGTAAAACTTTAATTAATTGCTTCATATATTTCAATTTTTTAACTTAATAATACAATATTCAGAAAACTTATCAAAAAAATTTTTAAAAAATGTAAAAAAAAAATTTTTTCCACCCGCGTAGAAATTGTTTCGAAAACGTCATAATTTTTTATATTCCAAAAAAAAGTTTTAAGATCTTGTTTCTTAAGCTACTCTCCATAAACGAAACGTACTTAAATACATTCTACTGGGACGTCAGCGTCACAGCAGCTCTTTTTTGAAAAATTCTTTTTGTCCTAATCACAGCAGAGCCCTCTATTAACATAAATTAAAATGGTTAGTTAGTGCTGTGGATATGAAGAGTTGGCACACTATACAGTTTATTGTTTGCATTGCTATAAGCACTCCACTGTCAGAGACTCTATTATATATTTATTTATTTATGTACATCTTCTATCTATGATTGTAAATAGGATTCTAAAGTTAAGAGAGTCTCACTTTATTACAATAAAAATTATTTAATGAAGATAGCATTATGTGAATTCTGTCATGAAATAAAAAATATTAAAAAAAAACAATGCTTCAAAATATTCATAATTGAGATTTTTATATATCAAGCAGTTTTGTACTATAATCTACTTACTACAATTTTTTTCTTCAAAAAGGAATTTTATTTAATCAGTTTTTTGAAATATTAAAGTATTGAAAAAAAATTCTATGATACATGCAAAAATATATGAGAACTGTGTTCTAATCTCCCTTTAGGAGGAATGTTTTTTTTTTTCCTTCTTTAATTGTTAACATGGCAAAACATTAAAGACTGCATAGTAATCTTTTGGGGTTGGCAAGCATTAGTTAACTAAATAAAAGAATAGACATAAAAGAAAATAATTAGTAGTTTAAACAGTGAAAAAATGCAAAACAATTAGTGCATGAATTAATAATATACAATTCCTCACATAAAATTTCGTTATTCTTAAATTTATTTGCAATCAAAAGTGAAAATATACCATTTTTCTTAAAATCACGATCAAAAAAATCAGGAGCTGCTTTATTTAGTGTTGATGATTCAGCATGAGATGCTAGTGAATGATTCTTTGAAGGCTGATTATTTATGGGCTGATTATTCTTTGAAGGCTGAATATTCTTTGAAGGCTGATCTGAAAAAATATAAAAAAGTAACTGTTACAAAAGGTAGAACACTAAAAGATCGAAAATATTATCTTATAAAGAATAAACGCAAAGATTGAAAGATTTAATTTAAATATGTTTACTTACAACCATACCTACATGGTTGCCACAGAAAAAAATGAACAAAATAGTTGCTTAAATAGTTAGCCTAAAGCATGAAAATAGTTGCCTAAATAAGAGCAAAAAAATTTCGATAATATGACTAAAATTTTATTAAAAGACTTAATTGTCATATAGCAAGATCCATTTAGTCAAGTTGGTGGCAAAAAGGATGATTTTTATATAAACTTTAGTGTTTTGGCACTAAATTTTTATTTAAAAAAAAATAAAAAATACTTTTAATTACTAAAATTTATTCAAAATCATACTTTTTCATTAAAAAAACTTACCTTTTCCTTTTTCATTAAAAAAACTTAATGAAAAAAATTCCCCTTTTATCAATAATTGATTCAGTAAATATATATATATACATATTGTGAAAAGTGATTACTTAAATTTGACAATTCATGCATTGAAACTGTTACTTACAACCATATTTATCGTATTAAAAATTGGGTTTTTTAAAAATCATGCAGAATTTCGTAGCAATAACTGTTGAAAAGGCGATCGAGAAACAAAATTGACTTATAATGAAATCTGTGCAAATTGAGCGCATTAAAAAGTTATAACTCAAACTTGCAATTCAAAATTTTAATAATTTTTTATTTTTTAAGAAAAAAAAATTCATTGTGTACAGAAGCTCAGGCGGGGCGCAGGTTGTCAACCCAATTTATGCTAAAGAAAACATCTCTAGGAGAACAGAAAAGTTTCCCAATAGTCTCCTTTTCCTGAAAATAGTTGCTTTTTCAGACTTTTTAGGCAAAAAAAGTTGCCACAGTCGCCTTACGCCAAAAATAGTAGCAAATAGTCGCATTTTAGTCACCTGTGGCAACCCTGTACCTAACTAAAATTCAGACAAGACGGCATCTAAGTACGAAATGATGCATCTGAAATTGAGGGAATGTAAATCACAAGATTCGATTTAAAAATCGTGAGAATACGAAAGTTTAATTTTAAAATCACGTGAATACAAATCAGAATTTTTTTTGAAATTGCATGAATACGGAAGAACATTTCAAATTCAAACCCTATCTTGTTTTCTCTGTAATTTTTTTAAATCAAGTTTGTTTTTGTTATTTAGAGAATAATATGAACAAGTAAGGGTATCTAATTATGTGATTATTACTTGTGTTATGAGTAAAGAATTTTAAATCAAAATCATTATTCATTAAATTCAAAAAAGAAAGTGGTTGTGCTCATACAAATCAATTAAGTTCATGAATATAATCTGAAAAAGCTGCAATTTCCTAACTTTCGTAAACAAAAGGAGAACAATGACCCCTGTGACAGAATTTTTTTTGAGCTTTCTGCAACAATTCTAACAAAAAATAAGCACTTTTCAAGCACTCAAAAAATATCATAAATAGGCAGGGTTGGAAAGTTTTTGACAATTGACGGTTTTATCTTGTTTTAACTGTCATGTCAACAAAAAAAACTTTGACATTGTTTTTGACAATTCTCAAAAATCTTGAAATTTTGAATAATGTAAAACGAAAGGCCTTTTCATACACTACGGACTGACAATACGCCGAAATAGATTGGGGTTGAATTAATTGTGAAAATGTTGAATAGAACAATGTGAACTGTGTCTTTTTTCAGAATTCAAAGGGAAAATCAACATACCGTATATTCCGGCGCATAACGCGCACCCGTAATTTCTAATAACTCTTTTTACATTTTTAGATATACTCTTCGTATAACGCGCATGAAAATTTGGATTGTACATGTGCAATATCTCGTCTAGTATCTATAGAAAACCAAAAAGACTTTTAGTGTGGGACATGTTTAGGTCCCACCTTACAGATAATGCAAAAAAATTGTTGAATGAATGTAACACCGATATGGCAGTTATTACGGGCGGATTGACACCATTAGTTCAGCCATTGGACGTCTGCTTTTAAAGCCAATTTAAAAAAACAGTGGAACACTTGGATGTTGGAGGGCGAGAAAACCTTTACGAAAGGAGGACATATGCGTCATGCAAGTTTGGAAACAGTGTGCGAATGGATATTAAAAGCATGGGATGAAATTAAGCCTGAGATGGTTAGAAAATCATTAAAAAAATGCAGCATTTCAAATAATCTGGACGGATCAGAAGATGACTGTTTATTTATGGATGAGGGTAACACAGATGATGAAGACGAAACAGATTGTGATGACGTGCCTGAAGAAATAACCGAAGACGAATATAATGAACTATTTATGTAATAACGAAAATCAATAAAGTATGTAGGTATGTTATTTCTTTAAAATAAAAGTATTTTTCTATATTTAAATTTTTTTAATCTATAATTTTTTATATTCGGTGTACCCGTAAATTCCAATGTTATTTTTTTGCATTAAAAGTGTGCGTTATACGCCGGAATATACGGTAGTAAAAATCTCATTTTGAAAAAGAGTAAATTAAGCACTTTTTAAAAACACCCAATGGAAAAAGCACCTTTAAGGGCTTTTAAAAAAACGAAAATAAGCACCTTTAAGCACTTTTTTAAAATGCTACGCAACCTGTAATACCTTTCTGAAAATAATTTTTAATAGTAACACACATTATAATTTCAAGTAACAGAAATGTTTCCTGTCCACAAAAAAAAAAAAAAAATAAGAAAAAAGTTTTTAGGTACAGAATAGAACAGTATATAATTTTTTAATTATAAATGAAAGATTTTTTTTTCTTAATATACATATTCTGATATTATTAGCAATATTCTCTTCTAAAAAAAAAAAAAATTTGTGTAGTTAACTTTTTTATATTTTATCTATTTGGAAATTACTTTTTATAACATCATCAATTAATCATTGTGGAATATTTTTTATTCTCAAAGAAAAGTAAAAACAAATTGTGAGCGTTTCTTCCATCTCTGAAAAGCATGAAAGGCTTTTTTTGAAAATAATTCTGCAAAAAAAGGAAAGAAAAAAAAAAGCTTTGCAGAAAGAAAAAAACATTTCTAAAAATTCTGCAGATTAAAAAATCAAACTTTTTTGCTTCCCAAATAAAGAATCTTTCTGCAAGAACTCTGCTACAATGTTGCTGTGTCACCAAAATTCTGCCACGAGGGTGATGACTGTTGCTTGAATTTTGAAATTAAATATTCCTTTATTTTATTTATCTTATTGATTTACAAAATTTCATATTCATCTCTTTTTAGTTTATTAGTACAAATTCTTAAGTATACATTTCACAGCAAATTCTGAGCCCATTGCATAAATAAAACTTTCATATGAAAATTGACATATTCTGAACATAATTTCCATATTATGGCAACCCTCTATATTTTGGAGATCTGAAATACGAATCCATTGAAAAAACAGCATGTTTATTCAGAGAAAGTATGTTTTTGTGTCCGATTTCATAAATAAAAATATCATCTGTACTAATTAATTAGCATATTTGAAATTACTCCCTCAAAACATTAAGATCGAGTCCTAGAACATGAAGATCCGATCATTAGATCAAATGTTATTCAGAGTGGACTGTTTATTTTACTGTGCACAGTACATATCTGCAATAATAAAATAAATAGCATAATTTTTAATAGAAATAATATCTAATTTTTATAAAATAATTTTTAAATCTAAAAGGAATTCAAACACCTAAATCATAATTAAAATATTACCATATAAATTTCAGGTACTTTTCCGTTAGTCAGACGAAAGCTAAAAATCGCCAAATAACGTAGAATTTCACCAAATTTCTTACAACCATAAAGGGAATGCTAATTTGGGCCACGTGCTCTATTCTCTGAACTCCATTGGCTTTGCTTGAGAAAATTCTCAAGGACATCGTATTCTGGAAAAACCAATTATTATAAGCATTATTTTCGGGTTTTTGTTTACTATTAATAAATATTCGCTTTGCTTTTGACTTTTATTTTGTTGAATGTTTTGTCACTCGCTTTGCTTGGCGACTTGGCTCGTGTTTGGATCACAATTAGCGACATTTGCGCCCGACTAACAGAAAAGCACCAAATTTCAATTACAAACAAAGCTATTACCTGTACAGACAGAGTCTTGTTTCACAGCAGCAGTGTGAGCATGGTGGCTTAATTGTGAGTTACTTGCAACTAGATGTATAATAATATTGTTGTTTTTATTCCTCGCATTGATACCAGGCACGGTTTCTAGACATTCTTCTAGGGTGGAAAAGCCCCATTCCCGAAAATGAAATTGTCTCTTATAATGAACACAAAATAAATCCAGAAACTCGTTGAGCTTTATTCCATTTGGATAGTTATTCAACATTTGAATGACGTATCGGTCCAACCCCTGCGGAAGTTCTTTTTTTATAAACCTCGGAGGCATTTCGTAAGACCTGTTACTTGCTCTGGTGGAACCGTAGTTAGATGCATAGGACGGTGCAGAGCTGTAAGCATTAGAGACTTTGTTCGGCGCTCTGTATCTAGTTTTATGCTTGGACGCTTTTTGCTTGACAACCATTTTCTGAATATGTTTAATACTTTCGTCCGCAACTCCGAATAGGTGAAAATCACCAGGTACGGGAGAAGGAAAAACTCTAACTGCATCTGGCATAGCCTTTAAAAATGAATGTTCATCCTTATATCCAAATTCTTGAAAAGGCAAGTTTCTTCCGATCATGCCACGGTACTCCTTCCTGAATTCGGATAAAGAAGTACCTTTCTGGTATGATATAAGTAAACTTCGTATTTCCTTCTTAACATCTTCAAATTTAGCAGCTGCCATGTCTGTTGAAATTAAAAATAAAAAATAAATTTTGTAAACATGTTATACATATTCACTAAAATACATCGAAGTCAATGGTAGGATTAAATGATGTGCACATATGGGTTTTAATAACTTCCCAAACGTTTGGAAGACCCAGTGGCTGAATTTATTCGGCCTTTCTGCGACATACCTCTCTATTACTAATATCTTTCTGCAGGATACTTAAAAATAACAAGGATAACATGTTACTAATTTAAAGTAACAGAAACAGGGTTGCCACAGAAAAAAAATGAACAAAAGAGTTGCGTACAGTAGCCTAGAGCATGAAAATAGTAGTCAAAAACTAGGAAAATAGTTGCCGAAATAAGAACAAAAATTATCAAAAATATGAAAATTTTGTTAGTGTCATATACCATGATCCATTCAGTCAAGTTGATGGCAAATATGATAATTTTTATATAAACGTAAATGCTTATATATATGAAAAGTGATTACTCAAATTCGAAATTCATGCATCGTAATATCGTATTAAA